CCTCCTACTGACTATGATCCTTGAAACATTGCAAGAAGTGATCCCTGATCACACAGCCAGAAGTTCCGAGCACTGCCAGTGCTCATTCTACCACCACCACCACCACAACTACAATGCCATCTATACTTAAAATAATATTTAGGGGCCCAAGAGAAAATATAGGGTTAAGGTGCTTACCTTGTACATGGTTTCACTCCCTATCACCCCTAGCACCACCAAGAGTGATCCCTGAGCACAAAACTGGGAGTAAAAGGAGATGAGTCTGGTTAGGAGGGCTGTGACTGGTGAGTCAGTAGTGTGAAGGGATATGCAGTAAGGTTGAGAATAAAAACAGGACCCAACTCTGACTGGTTTCACTTTTAAATTAAGAACAATTCAGGAACTGCTGTAACAGTTCAATACTGGAACACCACCTCCTGGTCCCCCACCCCCACCCTATGTGGATTATTCTGTGCATAGGGTATGGATTTCTATCCTTGGGTCATGATATAAAGAGACTTTACTTATTTCCTTTAATTTAAGTTACCTCCTCCTAGAAACCCCCATTCTAGCAGTTGAACTGGAAGCTCCATTCTATTAAAAAAAAAAGGGGGGGGCCTTTCCTCCTAGAACACATTTAGAATTTAGAAAGCTTATTGGTGCTTAGAAAGTGGAGAGAGAAAGGACCTCTTCTCCTTGGTCTGTCTTGATTGCTGCTGACAACTTCCAAGCCACCCATAACATGTGAAGTCTGTCAGTTCTCTGGCCCTTTGCTGTGGTGGAAAATAAGATTGTGTGCCAAGCCTGGGCCCCAGCCTAAAAACTCTGCCTCTGGAAGGAAGAACATACATCCCTGGGACTGTTAACCCCTTGCAGCACTGAGAGAGGAGTGCTTGGATCCCACTGTTTGCTGAACTCATCCTCCTCTTTCCTTTCCTACCTTTGCCTGACACCTCAAAAGCACACTCACTTTCCTGTCTCTGTACCAGACACCATATCATTCACCATGGGTTTTCTCAAATATCCTGAAATGCCTTTGGTCTAAAGTCTCTTCCACTTTCTCCCCTGCAAAAAAGTCTGTGACAAAAAAATATCACAGAAGGCAAATTCTAGCATTTCTATTAACAGTGCAGGTATAATTGTTCATAGAGACAATCCTAGCACAGAATCACCACCACCGCCTGATTAATACTTTTAAATTGCCTTTTGGCCACTGACCACAACAAATAGGTTACTGGAATTGAAAATTCTGTTTATTGGATGTTTCCAAATGTTTACAGAGCTCTAGTGTTGCTTCTCGGAGTATGTCCTTACCTGGTGATACCAGGGGAACATCTCTTGGAAAAATTTGCATAAGACCACCAGGAAAGTATCTGTCTCCCTCATCCAGCTATCATCTATCCTTGTCACTCCTCTCCTGATTCTTTTCCTAGTAGCCTTGGCCTCCTCAAGTCTGATAACTTTTGAAAGAGAGAGAAAGTAGAGGAAGCACAATCCTCCACAGAATGCCACTCTCACATGTTACTGTTAGCTTCCTCTTTTTTATTTGATTAATTTATTTAATTTGATTTTTGGACAATCCTCAGCAGTGCTCAGGGACTATTTCAGCCTTTGTGATCAAACCCTTTGAGGTACTCAGGTTCACAAGTATACAAGTCACACATCTTCCTACTTCACTATCTTTCTGACTGTAGGCAATTGTAAACAATGCTTTTAACAAAAGCCACAGAATTATAGCTTCCTCTTAACAAAAGGAGTTGATCTGTTTTATTCTGCTGCACCTCCTCTCAGAATTTAAAAATATTGACAGGCTGAGCCTTTTCTGTTCTTGACTCTGATGGCAAAGTCTCCTTATCAGATTTTTGAGTGGCACAGTCTTGGAGGATGTCTAATGCAATGAATAACATACATGAAATTCAGAGGAGTTTTGATTGACCGCCAGCTCAAAGCTAACACACAATGAAGATGGGACCAAGGAGTGGTGATATGACTTAGCATTTGAAAACAGAGAATCATGGTTCTCCAGTCTTCCATGGCAACTGTTTGTAGACTAATTTAAACTATGACTCGTTGACAAAAATGATCTTGTCCCTGCACCTTTCCTCTGTGAGAGGTATGTAGATGAGTTCTGGGAAACCAGAGTCAGTGGGAGAGCAGCTAGGTTGACTAGGGCTTTACAGAGTGTATTGCTGTGGTGAAAAATGAGACTGTGTGCCAAACCTGGGCCCCAGACTAAAAACTCTGCCTCTGGAAGGAAAAACACACATCCCTGGGACTGCTAACTCCTTGCAGCACTGAGAGAGGAGTGCTTGGATCCCACTGTTTGCTGAACTCATCCTCCTCTTTCCTTCCCTACCTTTGCCTGACACCTCAAAAGCACATTCACTTTCCTCTCTCTATGCCAGACACCATATAATTCACCGGTTGGTTTTCTCAAATATCTTGAACTCCTTTGGTCTAAAATCTCTTCCACTTTCTCCCCTGCATAAAAAGTCTGTGTCAAAAAAATCACAGAAGGCAAATTCTAGCATTTCTATTAATGGTGCAGCTACAATTATTCATAGAAACAATTTTATTCTAGCGCAGAATCACCACCACCACAAACACCACCACCTGCTTAATAAGGAAGTCTTATTTGATTTTAGCTATTGGTTTTATGTAAAAAGATTATGTCTGTCCTCTGGGAGTTCTTGAAAATGGGAAAGGGATAACTTGATGGTACTTATGGGACTAGACTTTGAGAGGTGGGGGATTTGAGGTAATTATAAAAAAGGCACTTTCCTTAGGTGTCTTATCTGGTTCTTATTTTTCCAACATGAGTAAGAAAGCAAAGGCTCAACTTATATCTTTCAGAAATAATACTGACTTAGTACTCACTTGAGAAAAAGAGAATGATTTCTGAGAGTCTTCAAATCACTTTGTAGCACAAATTTATGTCTCAGAAGTCTTAGCGTAAAAGAGTTTCATGACTCTGAATTGTCCTTTATTTCTGCGGCTTGCCTTACCACTTGATTTCTACATTATATGTTGGAGCAGGATCTAAAGTAAGTAGAAAGAAAAATGGAAAAGAGGAAAGAGATTTTTTTTACAAAACTGTATTGCCAGGATCTATACTGAATCCACTCTTTCTTTCCCCACTCTTCTCTGTATAAATTCAAACATATACATCTACACATACACAAATATATCACCCTATTTAAATCCAACAACAAGTTATGAGACATTTAATATTATTTCTGAGAAAAAAACCCTAATACTCAGAATTTTAACTTTCTGTTAGGTAGATGAGAAAGGAAAAAGAAAAATTTAAAAAAAAAAACAGCTTTTTTTTTTATATTTTGTTTTGGGGCCACACCCAGGAGTGCTCAGGGCTTAGTCCTGGATCTGTACACAGGGATCCCTCCTGGCAGGCTCAGGGTATCATATGTGGTTCTAGGGATCAAACTGGATCAACTGCATGCAAAGCAACACCCTACCTTAAGTGCCATTTTATTTAATTCTATGAGGTGTTCAGTATTATTTCTGAGAAAAAAAAATCTGTTATCTACTCCACAAAAACATGCATTAACTAGTGGAATCAGGGTTTGAACCCAGGTCTCTATGATTCTAAAGTCCAGTGTGATATGTTATTCTACTAATTCTTTATTTAAAGTAAATTATATTATTTTATAAAAATTTAATTTTATTGTTATTAATATTCCTTTTTAAATTATATACTTAAATTCAGAGAAAAATGTCATTTATTAAAAAGTACAGATTTTACATACAGAGTTAGTATATGCACAACTAAAATGACTGAAATTAGGGACATCCTATTTTAAATATGTGCTCAATATTTGATTAATCTCATGGCATACAATAAGAAAATAAAATAGACCCTTTCAAATAAAAAAGAGAGAGATTTGATTGCAAAACCCAGAGTAAAACCCCACTTGAGGTGTCTCTAAATAAAAGACAAAATTTCCAGGGTACGAAAATGGATGGACTGAGTGACTCAGGACCCATGGAGCCTTGTGTGTCTGAGGGACCCGGATGGAAGGTTAAGAGCAGCTTGGTTAAGAGCTGTTTGGGACAAGTATCATCACCTCTCAGTAATAGAAGAAATTTGTGGAAAGGTCAAAGTGAGCACTGGAAAGTCTTAAAAGAAGATAAGAAAGTAATAGCAAAGATAGAATAGCTGAGAGGCATGCTCTGAGGTTATTTCTCATAGCAATGCAATAAGGAAACTCAGTAGTCATATTCCTAGGTAAAAAAGCCTGAGATTTGGTGGTGCTCAACAGCATTCTCAAGATAAGTGAAAACTTAACCACACACGTTCAGTTTGAACCCCCGCTCCTTCCTCTGCACCACGCGTTTCTGCCTCGGTGGGTCAAAAACAAAAACTTTCACTTTGTCATGCTTCCTTTCTCCAGCCCTGCAGGGTACAGCTAGCTGCAGGTTGGGCATGTACATTGCTCCCCCAGCCTACTCCCGCAGCACCGGGGGCAGGGTAATACATAGCCCATCCCTGCTGAAGCGCTCTGCTGGGAAAAATCCGCTGGACATTCATACAACTTTCACACTTCTGCTTGTGACTTTTGCCTTCCAACAGGCCCCAGGGATGATGTGAAGGGAGGATAAGACACACGGTCACTGCACTCTGTTCGAGCTCGCCTGTAGTCTTGCTGACCAGCCACATGGCTGCCCCATAAAACAGCCACTGGACTGAGCTGCGTCTTTTTCCTCTGGATCCTCCTTGGTGGACCTCTCAGGGAAGGAGTCTTCATTCATGCCCGTGGCTGGGGCTGTCTTTGGGGAGTTTCCTTAGGGCTTTACACTCACTTACTCTCCAGGGTTAGGTATTCTCTTCAGTGGAAATGCCCACCTGACTGCAGAAGTTATCTGGAACCAGCAAGCTGCTTCTGTCTGCGGTGGTATTGCTCTCTGCTTAGTTCCCCTTTTCGTGTGTGAGTTCTGCGTCGGTGCAGACACTGTTCTGCAAGGCGTCTTCAGAAGTTCAGACTGCTCACAAAACCTCCTGCCAATTGGTTCTTAAGTCCTGTCTTCTGTGCATCTCGGGAATGAAAATAGCTCCACTCCTCTGGTCTCTGGGAGCTGCTGTGGAGAGACATTTGTGACAGGTATGTCCTTAGAATCCTTGTAAGGCTGGTGTGGAAGAAAGTTGCATCCCGGGGAGTGGTTCTGAGAAGGGACTGAGGGCCAGCTAAGGAGTGTCAGGAGAGCCAGTGTCGACTCCACGCCTTAAGCCTGGGAGAGTAAGGCCTGATTTTTAGATGAACTCCCCAGTTGTGGGACATAACGAACTTTTCTTCCAGTCCACCCCTTTATCTGCTTCAGTTATCTCAAATAACTGAGCAGCAAATGGAAAACGCCACTTACTGAACAACCGGCAGCTGCTCTTGTCTTGGTGCTCTGCGTTCCTCAGACAGTTCTGTCCTGGGAAAGTCTCAGGAGGCAGCTCTGCATGAGCGCCTGTGTCAGTGGGAAGCTCGGAAGGTGGGGGCCAAACCCAGAGTCTCTCTGCAAGGGTCTCTTCTTTTGTCTTTGGCATTGCCCTTCCATCCAAAGACCTCTGCCCTTTTCTTCTTCCCATTCAAGGATTCTGTCCCAATATTAGTGCCTTTGGGGCACTAGAGACCAACAGTATATTTGAGAGAAATAATCTTATGTTAAAAAGATGGCAGGGTGGTTTGCAGTGTTCTATATGACATGAACGTATTTGCATTTTCAAGTAGGCTAAAAATAGTGCCTCCACCGATAAGTATTTAAAGTTCTGGAAAGACAAGTGAATATGATTTTTGGCCAAGGGAACGTCCCCCTCTTCTCAAATTGTAACAATTAAGGAGAGGCCCTTGGGAATACAACCTTGGGGGATTAAGGCTTTGTAGTATAATAAGTTTACTACATGCACAAGTTTTCAGTTCTATTTATTTGGAGGCAGATACTGTTTAGGCTTTTACATGAGTGTATATTGCTAACTTTTTAAATGGTAACATTTATATACCATTCAGGTGTCTTACGTACTTTAATTGAGTGTTTACTATATCCTACTGAAGTTTTAACAGGGAGTTTATGAAACATGGTTCCTTTGCTCTGGAAGATTTTGATCTAATCAATTAAAGCCACGTTAATTAATCACAGTGAAAGTGACTATAGAGATTGTGCTTTGAAAGGAAGGTGATAGTTTTATGCAATAAAATATGCTCTTTAATAGCTGTGTTGCTAAGCTTAACTTTTTGCCTCTACTATCTCTGGATAGCAAATGCCCCTTCTTTATGGAAGTGATGATGGATGTAGAGGAAAAACTAGGGTAAGAGGGGAACAAATATGTAAGGTGGAAAGGTCAGCCAATTGCAACTTCTTTAAGCAGAAAATAAAGTTTCAAATCCCAGATTTGAAAAAAAAAACAGAAAACTGGGAAGATGCAAAAGGCTGAAACACATATTTTCATGCATGCGCCCCAATTCAATCCTCATCACTGTATCATCCTCTTTATCTAGCCCCACTAGGCCTGAACGGAGATGCACCACTGAGCCAAGCACGGGTCTATCAGGAAGAGTGGCTGATTAACAGTAGAGGTGGTGCCCGGTACCCCATGAGCATTGCTCAGGAGTTTCCACCCCACCCTCCCCAAACGAAGTTGAATTTGGAGGTGTCAGGGTCAGGAGATTGAAGCTGTAAATAGTTAGAACTAGAGCATAAAATACTGAAACAAGCAAGAAGGGTGGTGGGAAGTTCTTAGGTAGTTATCAGAGTTCACGCTAGAGTGGAGAATTCACCTTTCAGTGGCAGTTAGATTTAAGATTATTGGATGCAGGAAGAATAGGGTCACAGACTAGGCATACAACCACTAGACCCTTATAGTAATCATTTCTAATTTAATGAAGACATTTGGTTTTGTACATTGGAGTTTAGTCAGCCTGGGATTTGGGAAATTTACTCCATTTGAATATGTGTTAGAGAGAAGAAAAGGGGGTCCATGGTATTTTGCGTCTTCCCATAGAAATGGGAGAGGTCCTATTTTTCTATGCTTCTCACTTCTTCCAGAAATGTAATTCTTTTCAAGTTACACTCCTCATTTATGTAACTTAATTCTAAATTAAAAAATTCATCATTTTTAATTAACATTCACATTGAACAGGGGATTTCAAAACTGCCATAACCCAAAGAATGAGTAATTTGGGAATTCCAAGCAGCGGAGTTTTACGGAATGGGGAAAAGGGGACCTCCCTCAAAATATGACCTTGAAACATTGGCTTTCTTCCTGACACCATGATTCTAATTCTGAGACACAGGAAATGACTCCCTGAGGTGCCAGGGTTGGCATGGCTGCCTATTGTGGGAGGCGTGTGTGATAAGCAGAATCCTTGATGGAGTGTATGTTGATATAGAGATAATGACCCACAAAAATGTTGCCTATTGCACCCAGGAGGAAAGAGAGAGAACAAGGGGAGAGTGCCCTGCCGCAGAGGCAGGGTGGGAGGGGAAGCAGGGGGGTGGGAAGGATGCTGGGATCGGTGGTGGTAGAGAGTGGGCACTGGTGGAGGGATGGGTATTCAATCATTGTGAGACTGAAACCCGGGCACTAAGATTTGTGAGTCTACAGCTGTGCCTCATGATGTTTCACTAATAAAAATCTAAAAAAAAATTTTTTTTAAAAAAATGTTGCCTAATGCTTAGCAGTAGGCTCTTTTGGGGGAAACATGGTTTGTAAAATTATCATTTTAATATGAAAAAGTTTTTCTTGACCAATCCAGTTCCAAATATGACTAGAATTGAGTTTTTCTCTTATAAACAAACCTGCTATTGGTTACTAAAAATCAAGGTCCGGTGCTATGCTCCTGTTAGGCAAATGAGAGGAATGGACTCGAATGTTAAGACTTCAGTTACACATAACATTGGAGCCTCACAACTTCCTCTGCTCCTGTGAATGAATTTTTGCAGACATTTGTCATTTGTATCCAGGCATCTTTGATGCAGCTCTCCTTGTATCTATGAGGAAACACTGTGCTTCCAGTGGGTGTGGGAGGACAGTTAATAAAAGAAAAGTAAGTGTTAGGCAAGAGAATTCTGGCCAGATGGGACCCTCAGAGGATTTACTTCAAGAAAAACGCTGGAAATCAAGTTAGTCATAGCATCAGCCTAAGGAAAAAGGTGGCTGATTCTGCATCTAGTAGCAGAGTTTAGGATGGGTGACTCAAATCCATAGCCAAGCATTTCCTTCTCTACCAGATATTTGAAGCAGTTCATATTTTGATCAAGGCCTTGTTTTTATTCATTTTTTTCCTTTTAATGTCCATTGTCCCATTGCTAGATCAGCCTATTCATCTCAGGTACATGAGCTTTAATGTACGTAATTTGTGGGGTTGGTGGAAGAGTGGTTAGGGGTAAGCCACACCTGGCAGTTCTCAAGACTTACTCCTGGCTCTACACCCAGGAGTGACTCCTGTCAGTGCTTGGGGGATGAAATGGGGGGTTGGGTTCAAACCTGGGTTAACCTTGTGCAAGGCAAATTCTCTAACCACTGTATTATCACTTGGGCCTAATGTAGGTTTTTTTAATTTAAATTACAATGAATTTTAAAGTTACAAAGATATTTACAATTGAAATTCAGACATTTTTCCAACACCAGTCCCTTCACAGTGCCCATTACCCTCCATCATTGTCCCTAGTTTCCATCCCACCCCCAAGCCTGCCTGTGTCCTAGTGTTCTCTTCCCAAACTTATCCCCCTTATCCCTGCCCCAGTGCCAAGCTTAATTCCTCTGATACCAACTCTCCCTATTCCTCACTGGCTTACTTTCCTTAAAAATATTTTTTCCTGTTCACAAAACATGAATCGCAAGCACTCAGCTTTTTATAAAATTTAACATGAAGTACTTATCTGACTTTCTAGGTCCTCTGTGCTATTCTAATCTAAAGAAACTAATTTTCCATAAAGGTAAAGGGAAAGGGAAAGGCCCTCCCGTTGATCATCGATTTGCTCAAGCGGGCCCAGTAACATCTCCATTGGAGACTTTGTTGTTACTGTGTCTGGCATATCGAATACTCTTGGTAGCTTGCCGGGCTCTCCGAGAGGGGCGGAGGAATCGAACTCGGGTCTGCCATGTTGGCTGCGTGCAAGGCAAACGCCCTACCCGCTGTGCTATCGCTCCAGCCCTAATTTTTCATTTATTTTCCATTAATAGACAAAATTAAACTCTCTCCTCCACTCAACTTTTCTCATTCTCCTGTATAAAGATTATAGCCATCTTTCAATTTCCATGTGTTCTTAGAAAATTTTATATTTTATTGTGACCTAGAAGTCACCAAAGAATATTAGGCCAACAAGAAGAATTGACTACAGGGTTATGTCTCATTCTTTTATGTATATGTGCATATATTTGTCTTCAGGATATGGCTGAATGTTTATCTGGCTAAATTCAATAAAACATTATAGACTGGTTCATAGGGGATGGTAGTTTTTTTAATATATTAAGTAGATACAAAGATGTCAGACTGAATATTCTCAGGAATCTGTTTGAGGGCTACTATGTGAACAATTGTAAAGTTAAAGGTAGATGGCCACGCTTTGACTTCTAAAAATCAACACTCGCCAATGTGAATAGAAAATAGCAATTTTCTCAAATATATTCTGTTAACAAGAGAGAGAGCATACAAGGGTAATGTGCTTGCCTCACACAGAGCTGACCCTGGTTCATATCCAGCATCTCAGGTTTCCCTGAGCATTACCAGAAGTGTTCTCTGAGCACAGAGCCAGAAGTAAGCCCTGAGCACAACCAGGTATGACCCAAAACCAAACCAAACAAACAAAAGATTCTTTTAGGCAATGTAGTAATCTAGACTGACAGCTCCCAGGACTGGGGATATAGGAATGAATAGGCTAACTAGAGTCAACCCAGTTCCAGCTACAATAAAAGAAATAGTCTCGCTGCAAGCCTGAGCATCTGACTCAGGATCAGTTTATTGTTGTCTTCAGAATTTAGTTCTGAGACTACTTTTAAGGCAAGTTCAGAGAGTACTACCTTCACTCTTATATTACAGAATGTAAGGTGATTTCTCTTCAAACTCTCTTGACTCTTATAGTGAATTCAGAAGATACTCTGCAGAAGTGGAATCCT